TGTTATCTAGACTATCAATAGTTCTGTAGTCCCAGATTTCAGCATGCTACTATTGTTCTGACATTGTATTTGGCCTTCTTTAATTTTCACAGCAAAGCCCAATTGGCTAGTACCTTGGCCTTACTTTCCATATCTCTGGCACTGGCTCGCAGCCTGCCTCTACAGCTTGCTGACCATGTGTCCCTATAGTTTGGTCTGTTCTCCATCCAAGCCAGGCTGAGCCTCTGACCTTGCTCTTGGTTTCTGCCCTTCAGAAGACTGCATGCCTAGTTCTGTCCACATGTCAACAGCACCCTGTCTTCTGCACAGTTCTGCTTTATCTAGGAGGAGGCCGTGTTTGCTTTTGTACCTTATGAGGGTGGAGGTTTCCACCTAACCTTATATCAAAGCTGTCTATGAACCCGTCTCCTCTCCTTACGCTGTGTGACTTCTTGAAAATGTGCCAGCTGGCTCTACTGCCTGTCAGGAGGGTCCAGCCTGCATGGCTTGAGCTGGGAGTGTGTGGTGGGTAGAACTCTTCTTAGTGCCCGCCCCCCTGCTGTCTCAGATAGGCCCCTTGAGAAGGATGATAGTGAGGATGTACAGCTCTGTGACATGTTACTGCCAGCTTCACTGGGGTTCTCTGTGGACATATGCATGATCCCTTTTGTCACAAGCAAGCTCATGTGCTGGGGATCCTGTTTGTAATCTGCTTCAGCAGCTCCTCTCCAGACTGTCTCTCATGAGGAATCTGTTGTGTTTTATAATGCTGTCATGGTTACTTTTCTTGGTGCTGTGATAAAATATTCTGACCATAGGGCTGGGGAGAGAGCTCAGTGGTTAAGAGCATTGGCTGCACTTCTAGAGAACTAGGGCTGGAGTCCCAGCACCCACGTGGCCCCTCACAACCACCTGTAACTCCTGTCCTAAGGAATCTGTTACCTGCTTCTGGCTTCCATGAGCACAAGGCACGTATGTTGTATACAGACATACACATGGATAAAGCATCCATACACTTAAGAAAATACATGGCAAAAGCAATAAGGAAGAAAGCATTTGTTTTGGTTCACTGTTCAAGAGTACAGTCTGTCATGGCGGGGAGCTTGGTGGTCATGGTGGCAGGAGCTTGAGGCATTGTGTCTGCAGCCAGGAAGCAGAGGATGAGAAACGCTATGCTCAGCCAGTGCGCTCCTTGTCTCTGCTGTAGGACCAAAGCCTAAAGAATGGTGCTGCCCATTTTTAGGGTGAGTCTTCCCCACCTCAATTAGCATAATCAAGATAATCTGAAACCGACATGGTCAGAGGCTGAC